AATAATGGGAGGGCCCTGCAGTACCTAGGATCTGTGGCACAATGGACTTTATTGAGTTTCTAATTCAAAGCTTGTGGATTTGTATCCCACAACAGTTGCCAGGAGACAGGCAAGTGACTTGACCCCTAAAGAAGATCTCTGAAACGGATTCAGCCATTTAATCTACCTGCTTGACTCAAACCATCCTGGAACAGACAGAATTACTGTCTAGCTTCCTCCCAAAAATAATCAGTCTCAATACCTGGGACTAAGTCTTTGTTTACCTCTGCCTCTTTTCATGCTTGGTATTCTCAACCAGGGCCATGGCCAGCAATATACACATGCCTTAGTACCAAAAAAAAGTAAATTTGTGGACTAAGCACAAATATTCCTGTTCTTGCTTTCCATATTTTAATTTAATGTTAATGCTTTTTAGAGGGAGCTGGCTAGATGACCTAGCGATTCTTTCACATATTTCCATGATTTTAGGTAAGTAACACTCTGGATCGTTGTCCACATAACCCTTGGAAATTGAACTATGAGGAATTTTTAAAATAAATTATCTGTGTTGTGGTTTTTTCTAAACCATAATCTTACCTTATTGTCAGGAAGTCAGATTACTTGACTTGGTTCCTGTGTTAAAATGAATAAAACATTTCCATGAATCAAAAGGAATGCCTGATCTGGAAATTATAATAGTAACATTTATTCCCAGGTGAAATCAAGTATATACTATCAGTTTTTCGTATGCTTCCAACATGACTCATTGCTGATGTGGATGATAAGGCTTTTTCTTAGGTTTGACTTAACCATGTTAATTCCACTTTTAGTTTGATTGTATTGGAGTATCATGGAGTTCTGCCAGTCTTTGTGATGGCTAGGGATGAACATTATTACCTCTTTAGCATTACTGCTTCATTTACAGTGGGGAGTAAATAGAGATTCTGCTTCTTCAGATGATCCCTTTTAAATATTAAGAATGAAATACAGAAACTTTAAGACAGCTATGAAGGGAATACGTTTTTGATAAAGTACATAAACCATTGTGCTTTTTCTGGATGGGCAGAGTTGGTGATTGGAAGGAAAAGAACTGATTTCTTGCAAAAATAATTGAACTGTCTTTTATTTGAAAGTGTGGATCAGTTAAGCATATTTTCCAATATGGTCAGTAGCCAATATTTTAAACATTTTCATTACACAGGATTAAGGGGGCATGGTTAGATGTTTGGCTGCATGTGTGTGTTCTCCTTCTGTACGGCCCTAGCTTTGTGCAGTGAGCTGGTGCAGCAGACCGCCCAATGACCGTGAGATCCTTTAAGATACAAAAGCACTCAGCCAGATTTATTGCCAACAAAACACGGTCCTACCTCCCCTGATCAATGTTTACAGTATGCCCCCGACAATGGACACAGCTCAGTGAATGGCAGAATTTTCCATCCTCTCCACCCCCTTGGCTGGCCAAAGACATTGCCTCTGAGATACATTTTTATACACCAATAAAACAAGTTACATATTGTCCCTGACCTGTATGAGGGTGCCCCCCCATTGCCTTGAATCTTTAAGTTTGATCAAAACTTGTCTGTCCATCATGTTGTCATCCTGACCTTATCCTTAAAAAAGGTTGGCTTGTTCCTGTTATCTTTGGGGTATGTATTTGGTGTCAAGGTGTCCTGGTAACACCTTTATGGAATATGTTTGCATATATATTCTTGTGCCTCGCACTACTTAGGAATGTGTGTTTCTGCAAGATTGTCCCAATTCTTGCCAGAATCTATAAGCAGGAGCTGCCTCTCATAAAGCAAAATTAATTTGTGAGCATCTACAAAGTTTTGACTCTGCTAATTGAGGCCTCAGCTCTCATACCAGGCCTCTGATAGGCTTTTGCTTAGGCTTGCTTTCTACTACAATGGGAAATCACTTATAGCCCCATTGTGATACAGGTTGGTGCCTCCCTTGGCACCTTAGAGTTCCGAAAAAGGGATTTTGCCCAACCAGGGGACATCAGGCCTCTGGGCTCTCCCTGGGCTCCTCTTCTGGCTGCTGGTCCCGGAGAACCTGGAGGCCTGACCTCCTTCTGCTCACCTGCCTGGTTCTGCTGCCCCCAGCCTGATTGCAGAACTCTGCTCCCTGTCCCCAGCCCTGCACAGGGTGACAGCTGTTCCCGGGGCTTTTTGTCTCTGTCAACCTGACCTGCACAAGGTGACAGCTGTTTCTGAGGGGCAACCTGGTTCCATGCAGGATGGCTGCTGCTTCTGGAGCTCCTTGCCTGCAAGTGCCTGGTCCCACCCAAGGCAGCAGCTGCTCCTGGGAGACTCTGGCTCCTTGCGGGGTAGCAGCCTCTCTAGTTCCGGGACTACAGGTCACTGGCTCCGCATGCTGCTGCCATCAGAACAGCTCCACTCCTAGCTGCACTCGATATCTGCGACTGGGGCATTCTGGTCTAGCAACATCTGTGGACCTGCCTGACCACATATGATGCCAGACCAGAGAGTCCCAGATGAGAGATTCAACCTGTACCATTGATATCAGTGAGATGATTTTTGGAATAAAGTGATACTCCATCTGAGTAAAAATTTTGCTATTTAGTCTTTTAATTTTAAATAAATTTGAATGAAACCATTTGTGTGTACAGTAAAACTCTGATGGTCCGGCATCTGATGGTCCGGCACGCCTGATGGTCCGGCACTATCAGGAACCCAGAAGTGCTCCGGGCAGCCGGACCATTGGAGCTGCTCTGCCCCCAGCTTCAGCCACTGCTAAAACTGACCAGCGGCTGAATTAGGGAAGCCGGGGGCAGAGCAGCTGAAGTGCTGCCGGGGAGGTATTGTAGTGCTGGCCCCCGGGG